CTTATCTTGGAAACATGAAATTGTCAAAATATCTGTATTAAAAAACAACAACGAATATTTAGAGCTGTATAGGGACTTGTTCAAACTTAGGCTGTATACAGAAATATTAGTGATGTCATCAGAACTTATTCTCCTTTTTTTTCTTTTTGTATACGATCTAAAGATTCGGTGTTGATTCTATCGTGTGGAGTACTGCTTTTAAGAAATACCATGTCAACCCGGGATGATGTCATCATGCATGAAAAAACACAGACTCGCCAGTAGACTGGTGGAAGCCCGGAAAAAAATATTGACAGGTTAATCCGCATAGACTAGTATTAAAAGGTATAGGAAGATCAATAGCTACAGCTGTAGAGTTGCTTATTATTAGTTTTGCTGTTAAACGTTACATAGATATATTACTTTTTGACGACGTCATAAATGACCATCTTTCAGTGGTTTTCAAACTTTTGTCACTAACGGCATCCTAACGCACTTACTTTCATTTGCGTGACACCCCTGCTGTCACATGTAATTTTATTTTTATTTTTTATAGAGTTTTTATGTTCTTAATTATTCTTCGTTTCGTGAAACCTCTAGAAACTTGCCGTGACACACAATTTGGAAACTAGTGGATTAACAAAGCCATACGGCTTCTCGACCCATCAATAAGTAGTTGACAGGAAGTCCTGTCTTAAATTTGTTTGTTTTTCAGAATCACGTCGCATTATACGGGTGTTAAGTAACAAACTGTCTTTAGGTCAGTTATGTCTGCTTGTCGTTATGCTAAGACGAACTGCTTATAGCTGAGATTGACGTTTTGGTACAGTTTAGTGTTATGTAAAGACGAACTGTCTATAGCTAAGATTGACATTTCGGTACACTTATGTCTGCTTGTTCTCCTGTAAAGAAGAACTGACTATTGCTAAGATTGAGGTTTACGTCAACTTATGCCTGTTTATTGTTATGTAAAGACGAATTGGCTATAATAGCTAAGGTTGACGTTTTGGTACAACAATGCTTGTTAAGCGTTATGAAAAGACGAACTGTTTATAGCTGAGATTGACGTTTTGGTATACTTATGTCTGCTTGTTGTTATGTGTAGACGAACTGTGTGTAACTGATATTGACGTTTTGATAAACTTATGCCTGTTTAGTGTTATGTAAAGAAGGACTGCCTATAGCTAAGACTGATGTCTTGGTGCACTTATGCCTGTTTAGTGTTATGTGAAACGAACTATTTATAGATGAGATTGACGTTTTAGTGCACTTATGTCTGTTTGGTGTTGTGTAAAGACGAACTGTCTACAGCTAAGATTGACGTTTTAGTGCACTTATGTCTGTTTGGTGTTGTGTAAAGACGAACTGTCTCATGCTAAGATTGACGTTTTGGTGCACTTATATATGCTTGTTGTTATTTAAAGACGAACTGTGCATATCTGATATTAATGTTTTGTACACTTATGTCTGTTTAGTGTTATATAAAGACTAAGATAGCTGAGATTGACCTTCTAGATTGTACAATAATTTTAGACAAACTTTAATATTGTTGAAAATGCTTTTAGGAAAAAAAGAAGGAGACATATTTTTATAGACTGTTCTTATATATCTATATGAGTATAATAATACTGTCTGATGTCTGTTGTATATCCATCTAACTATTTCGCAGGGTGTGGATGGATCTTCACCAAAATTGGTATAGAGTTTTATTGGGTCCTTGGGTAGATACATATACATTTTTAGTTGTGCATTTTGCGGTTTTTACGGGCGTTTTTTACAATTACATACGAGGGAAGCAACTTTTCATGTCTTAAGATAACCTTTCATTAATCACGAATTTACAAAACTTCCATCGAGGGGATGGATACTCCAGCTGGTATATATACATATATATATTATTAGACATATGAAGGTGTATATCATGGCAATAAATAGCAGAACGTTGCCTCTCTATACCTTTACACACCACAGCAAGGTAACAGTCGTTGCAAGTGGCAGACGTCCAGTGGAAAAGAAACCGTATTTTAGACACAACTAAAAAAACCACAGTATATTTATTAGGGGAGCGTATCTCATTATAGTAGTCGATACGATACGTAGCTAGATACAGGTGTTTCACCAACGGTTTGTTACAAAGTTTGACAGTCTTGTCTGTAATTTATTATCTATATTACTAACATT